GGAAGCAATGAAGTTGGATCCTGCATTTTACGTCTAGTGAATTCATATGACATTTTGATAAAAAGAAACTGGTTCCATGGTCCGATAATTGTGCCGGACAAAATAAGATCCGCACTTTTATTTTTTTAATGATGTTTTTGGTGCAAATTGGGCAGTTTGACGAGATTGTTTAAAAATTTCTATTAAGCGGGCATAGCTTTTTATCGTGTGATCGGGACATCACGATTATTGAAAAAAAGGAAAAGAGTCTCAAAGTGTTCTACCCCTTTAGCAGAAGCAAGTGGTTGCTTCTGCTAAAGTTACAAGGGAACCATTCACTGTAGTTGAGATGGAACATTCGTACTTATTAGACTTAAAATGCGCCTGCGATTCAGTACTAAAAGTAAATTTTCCAATATCAACGGCTACTATGATAAAAGTTTATAAAGGTTATCCAGGTATTGTTCAGTATAAGACCACATACAGTGACATAGACACTTGGAAATGTATCAATGCGCAAAAAAAGGGCTAAACCTGACGATATTGGAAAAGCTTGTATATAATGCTGTTCTAAGCCACTTTTGTCGGAAGGCAAGAAAAAAGATTTGTCAGCCATGTTGGATTTTTTGCCAGAAAGTGCTAAAGGCTATTACCACAATATTCTAAAGTAAAAATTTTAATAGCTTCATATGTTAGTAATAATTCTTTGGTTAGTTAATCGGTATGTTTTATGTAATAATACATTTTCCGTTCAAATGGTTCTAAGTACCATGGTATGGTATATGGTATATGGTACATAGAACGTTCCTTAAATACAATTTCTTTGGCATTAAGGAGTTAATTTGTTCTTTTTAAATACACATGTTATGAGCGAATATACCCCTATGTTACAAATAAAATACATGATAATAACGCTTTTAACTTAACATTTGACTTAGAGTTTTTTTTTCCTTTTCTGACAAAAATAGCGAAAGGCACTTAGAACGTTTAGAATTTCCACTCTTCAGTTAACGAAAAATAGGTATCAAGGTAAAAAGTCAACAAAAGCCAAAGTTTTTTGATTATATTATGAGGAATTTTTGTATTATGAAACTACTGTGTTATAAAAAACTATAATTGTTAATTTGAATTTTTAGAAATTCAAATGCATTAACTATCAGCCGAGATAATTGCAAAACAATTGTAATTGTAAGTAAGATAAAATTTTACATAATATGTTATATTTTAACACCTTGATAGGAAGGCTATTATCTGTCTATATAAGTGTGCAACATTTCAAAGAGATCGATTTGTTAAGTTATTGTTAAATGTTTATCCAATATAAAGTCCATTAGAATTATTATAAATAGTGGAAGTGTATACTAAACCAATCAGTTGTTATAATTTAACATAACTATTTATTATATGGTGCAAATAAATAAATATTGATTGTCGGTAATTCGTAAAGTTCTATTTTATTTACTATTTAGTTTGTTTACTATTAATATTGACTATAAGTAGATGTACTTCGTTGTATAGTAATTTCCAGCCACTTCTAGTCTGTCAAAAATAACTAGTTTCGCAAAAAAAATTACTAAATTCACTAGACAGTTCGGACTGGGAATAGTGGACTGACTATCAAAAATTTAAACAGTGATTTCTGCCTACAATACGCTTCTAAAGTGCACTTAAATTCTTGAATATGCAAATTAATAAGAAGAATTAGAGAAAAAAATATTTTTGCAAAAAATATCTTTAAATAAGTAGTTAAAAAGTAATGTTTGTTTACTAATAATACGTGTATGTACAAATGATGGATTATAACGAAAAAAAAAAACAACGTAATGAAGGAAAAAAGCAAACACAGATTTCTTGGAGAAAAATCCTCATCAACCACGACATGATCGAGAAGGAAAGACACATGAGGCAGAAAATTGTAAATAAAGGCAAAGCATTAAGAGCTGTAGGTAAAAACGTGAATATAGGTTACAAAATACTAACTGTGGATGGCATAAAATGGGAATGGGCCGGAAATGGTACTTTCAAAAGAGAAAATTCTAGAAATATGGACCCAAAAAACCAGCATATAGGACTGGAAAATAAAAAAGACGACCCATTATGCCGACGAACCCTAGCGATGAACAGGAAATTGAGTTTGAACCTAAATAGCGAAACAAACAGAAATATTGCGACATGAAATGTACGAAGAGTTTACAAGGAGGGATCATTAATTAACCTGATAGAAGAACTTAAGAAATATAAAATATACATCATAGCAATACAAGAAACGCATTTGACTGGAAACAACATCGAAAAGATTATTCCGTACACGTCTTATACAAGTGGAGGCGATAATAGGAATTTTGGAGCGGGTTTTCTGGTAAATGAAGACAAGAATGTGTGCAATTAGAATTAAAAGAGAAGAGAACATGATACCGCTGATAAATATACACGCTCCAACAGAAGAAAAAGAAGAAGAAATGAAAGATGAATTTTATGAAGAACTAAAGTCATTGGCTGAAGAAATGATCAGACAAGATATTAAAACTATTATAGGCGACGCCAATGCAAAGGTTGGAAGAGAAGTTATATATAAAAACATAACAGGGGGCAAAAGTAAACACATAATTACAAAGATAATGGCTAAAGATGGATTGCATTCGGAATTGAAATGGAAAATTCCAAGATCAAATGAAACTAACCAAATAGACCGCATCTTAATACAAGAGAAGTTCTTCAATATAATCACAAAAGTAAAAACAGGCAAAGGAGCAGAGGTAGAATCTGGTCATGTTTTGGTTAGAATTAATAAAAGAGATGCAATAATTAAAAAGCATAAACGTAAAAGAAAGTGCAACCTAAATTTAAAGCTACATCAAACAAGATAGTGCTACTATGAGTAACATACAACAAAATTTCTTGAAAATAACAAACACTATAGAGGAAGCACCGTCGAAGAACATACCAAGAATAAGAAGATTTAGAAAAACCACTGGTTCGATGATGAATGTACAGCAGAGTTGAAAAAAAGATCAGAGTGGAGATTAAAAAGTATGCGCAAAAACAAGACAACCTATAAAGGTATGTCCAACAACAAAAAAAAAAGTAAAGAAAATCCTAAGGAAGTGGAAAATAAAGTTTATAGATGATAAAATAAAGCGTATTGAACAAAAATTGCAAGAAAAACGAAATAAAAAATTTCTACAAAGAGGTAAAATTCATTATAACTGGGTACCAGGGAAGAACGATGAATATAAAAAATGAGCAAGGAAATCTGATAGTGGACGAAGACCAAATATGTGAAAGATGGAAAGAATATTTCGAAAAGTTGCGAAATGGCGGAGTGACTATCGAAGAAAATTATAACGTTCCTGAAACCCAATAGTAGTAGAAAAATCACAAATTCCGCAAGAGAAGAAATTGAAGAAATACTAAAAGATATGAAAAATAAAAAAAACCCGGGTAGAGCAGCAACGTGGCAGATAACTTAAAATATGGAGGAGAGGCTTTACGAAACCAATACACAAAAAGGGTGATAGAACTGAATGCACAAACTATAGAGGAATATCCTTGTTAGAGGTAATATACTCTATAGAGGTTATAATGTACTAAATACTTTGTTTAATCTTTTCAATTATTTCACTTTAATTCTCATTCACTTTCATCTAGATACAAAATTTATTTGTGTATTCATATTTTCGATAGTCAGTGTCAAATATCACTTTAAATTAATTGAATTGGGGGTACATCTTTTGCTACTTAATGTAGAATTTTAGTTCAAAATGACCTTTTATTTCTCAATCTTCTTGGGTTGTTTTTATTGGATTTTTTCTGGTTGTCCCGCTTTTTGATGGGACTTCCCAATTAACACCACAAGGTGTTCACCACAATAACTGCTGATTAAAGGATGTAGCAAGCAGCAATCCTAACTACTACCACTAAAGCCAACATCATCGCTGCTGCTGCTACTAAAGCCTACATTTATCTCCATTTGAAGCTACAACCAGCTCTCCTTCAGATGACAGTGTCTCTGTTTTAGCCATAAGTGTATTTTTACATTTATTATATGGTAAAGCTTAGGGAAGATTTGCTCACTAAATTTTGATTTTCTTTAGATTTAATAAATATGACTATTGTGGAGTATCCTACACAGTTTTTTTAGTATGCAGGGCATTACGTATTTAAAAGCAGTTTTTGATATTACAATATATTATAATGTTTGAATAATGTATTTTGAAATTATGTAAGTCGGTGTTGGTATTTTACGTCGGTGAACCTGATGATGTCTTGTTAAGTTTATCAATAAAGAAAGGGAAAATACAATTTTTACTTATTCCGAATTATCCATTAACTTGGATAAGAAGTTGGTTTAGCCGTGTGATGGCCCAACATCACACACTATTTAATATTTTATTATTGACTGCCAAATGTCAGATTGTACAATTTGCATTAAGATATCTACACATTGTATAATTTGCATTAAGACACCCTTAGAAAGAGCTAGTTGAAGCCCTAATAATAAAATCCGCATCTCAAGTGTTCTTTTATAGTTACACGACCGAGGTGTCGTTTTATTAAACAATTGGCACCCAACTATCTAGATGGTAGAACGTGGAGCTCGATGGCTTATCAAAAGACAGTTTTTGCAAAAATAATTTGTTGTTATATATATATATATATATATATATATATATATATATATATATATATATATTATATATATATTATATATATATATATATATATATATATATATATATATATATATATATATATATATATATAAGGTTTGTTACAAAAAATGGTTTTTTTGTGATTATCTCGGCAAATTGTTGATGGATTTTAATTTAAATAATAAATATTCAAATTAACCGTCTTTTTATAACACGATAGTTTCTCAATACAAAAACTGTTCCTAATATAATCAAAAAATACTATAGGTAAAAAATAAATTTTCCAAATTTGGCCTTTGTAAAAAATCTGAGAATTTTCATACGTATTTTTCATTAACTATGCCCCCCTATGATTTAAAACGATCAAATACCTGTAATATTTTTTATTTATCAATCTATTTTTCTAATCTGTTTTGTCTTACTAATATACGCGATGTTTAAAGTCGAAACGCATTTTCACCAAATATTTTATGTTCACTTGCGCTACATCGTAAACAATGTATTCATTGTAGAGCAAAGAAGATTTAGCTGCTGCTGGCTGAGTAACACCTTTTCCTGTCGGTACCACCATATTACCTATTTTCTGGACATAATTTGGATCGGGATGAGTTCTTCCTAAACCTAAAATTAAAAAAAAAATTAAATATGGTTAATTTATTTACATAAAAGTTTTTTATTTTTCCAGTAAAATCTTGATGCCTATAACACCCTGAAGAATGAAGTAAACATTGTATAATTTTTTTTTTTTTTTTTTTTTTTTTGAAATGACAACAGTGATAAAAATGTCTTGGTCTTATTATATGAAGCTTCGCGGCTTTGTCTTCACTACTGCAACTGTGGAAGGAAGGAAGGCTTGTTGTGTTATAGATCACTACAGTTGATAAAATTAAGGCTGTTTTCGCAGTTATAGCATACTGCGATTTGAAGTGGGCGTATCACTTACTTTTCTACACTGCATGTCAGACCGTACGTGACTTCCTAATAGTTTGTATGTTTATTCAGTGGCGCCGGCCCACGGGTTGTTTAAAATAAATGCATTATTCTCCATTCAAATTAGTTTTGTCGGAATACTTTTTTTTAGATTAATTATCGTAGATAATGTTTTAAAAAGAATTAATCACATTTTTAATTTATATGTCTTAGCTAAACATAGTATTAAATAAAAATTTGTGAAACGTGACTGCAAAAAACACCATGGTGTTTATTTATAATAAATTTAAATTTTGTTATATTAATATTAATATATAATTAATATTTTGTTAATATTTGTTAGAGAAAACTGATATTAGCGTAGTAAAAATTATACAAAAAATATTTTTATTTATCTATAAAAAATTGGTACCTGCGAAACCATCATAATAGTAAATGTATTTATCTGGCAAGTATTTCGAGGCGACGCACTGCGAGGAAAATGTTCTCTGAATGGAATATACATTATTTTAGTATATTTATAGGTTGCAGTTACATAAGAAAAGTATCCAATTGATGAATAAAACACAAATCGTGGATAGTTATTTCATCATATCAGTGGCATTACAGCTCGTCATGAGCCAAAGGCTTCTTCAGAACAATCTTCCATTCACTGGTCCACTGGTCCTCTTCGGTCGAAAATTTTTCTGATCGTTTCATCTTCATCTCGCCTAATTACATGTCCTATCCATCAAAGGCGTACTAATTTAATAAATTTTACAACGTCAGGTACTACACCTGAAGAAGCATCGTAGTTTACTTTATACGATCTTTTTGACCAAGCACCATCAGCTATAACGGTTATTAACCCATTTCCGTCGGAATCTACTTCACCAATTTCTTTGGCTAAAGCTAATTCCTCCCGTCCAGCCTCTTCTAAGGAATCACAAAGTGTTTGGCCGATGATATCTGCAACTGTTTCCGTATGTTTTGCATACTGCCTGTAGGAAATCACAGGTATATTTAATGAAGCGTGCTGCTGCTGTATGTCTGAATAACCAGAACCATTCAAGTTCAGTGAATTGTTACCAGAATCCTATGTTGCTATCTCCTTTTCAATATTCCACATTTGACATTTAAAAGTCAATGTTCTTATCAATCCGTCCATTTTTTCTTTGATAATCTCCATATTAGAAAAGTTGCATGAAAATGGAGAATGATTATTCAAACCTTGAATAGATATATATATATATATATATATATATATATATATATATATATATATATATATATATATATATATATATATATATATATATATATATATAAAAAAAGCTTTTAAAAACGGTTGTAATATAAATAATAAATACTAAAGCAGTGCAATTGCTCTCCTTTTCCTTGACATAGGACGTTTACTGGGACTCATTTTTTAACTTGTCTCTTATAACTTATATCACTAACCTAATGTAATACTTAAAAATACGCGTAACCTAAAGAACTTTTAACTTATACCACTAAACTAGTAATATATTACTTAACATACACGTAAACTAAATAATTTCAATGTTTTCAAAATAAATAAGAATACTGTAAACTGTAAAAACTAAGCAAGTTGATAAAGAAAATACAAGAACGAAAGAACTAAAATGGATTCTAATTCAAGCGAACTAAACCGTACCGTAAGCCGCGTTTTCACGATGGCAATTGGCGAGACAATTGTCAGAAGACAACTGACTGGCATGAAATTATTGTCTTCGTGTAAACACTTCAGGCCAATTGCCTTGCCAACTGCCCTCACAATTGGCCCAAAATTCAGTTGTCTCCGGGAGTCGACTGAGGACAATGAGCTGCGCCCAATTAGCCCCTCCACCACTCGAAATCTCAATTGTCGCGACAATTGGTGCCGTGTGAACGCTGTAGGCCAGTAGTGCTGCCAGTAGTAATTTGTGTTATTTGGGTTAAATTTAATTTTCGTACAATGAACATAACCTATAGATATGTTTGACGATAAATGTAAGCTTAATATACGTCAGTGTTGACATATACTCAATTATTTCACACTCTCATATATAAAATTATGGGCAAGATTTATATATATGAAATGAAAATTTAAAATTTAAAAATACATATATAATTAAACAAAAACGTGAAAAATACATATATAATTAAAAGCCTTAAAATTATACCTATAAATATTATAAAATAAAATTATATCTTACATTTAAAATACTTATATAATAAAAACCATTAAAATTATGCTTAAGGTAAAAATTAATAGTTTAGAAACTTTAAAAACTACAGAATAAAGTAAAGTTAAATGAAAATAAAAAAATTAGGTTAAACATAAGAATACACTAAATACTTAGCTATATTTAAAGTAAAAAATACTATTTTATGAATGCTTTTTAATATGAATTCAAAAATTGTGGCTTCTCATAACAAAACATTATATAAAAATTAATGGGAAAGTCCCAGTAGTTGGCTGTATACCATCGTTTAAAAAACTTATACAGAAGTAAAACACTTCACATTTATCTAAGTATATACCTAAATACAAGTGTGAAGCATTTTACTTCTATATAAGTTTTTTAAAACATTATATACAATTTCGTCAAAGTATCTTTCTATTTTAAAAACTCCTATACTTTATACAAACAAATGTGGCAACACTGTGACGCACAAACATATAGTTGACGTCATTGGTTGTCATGTTTTAGCTGTCTACTGCCATGGCAATAGTTGGCCCCGTATAAACATCTTCTCGTTCAACTGGACTGGCCTCCGACAATCCGAAACCACGTGATGACAATTGTCCAATGACAATTGTCTCGCCAATTGCCATCGTGAAAACGCGGCTGTACGCTCATGAGATTTGACGTCACTAATGCGATAACGATCAACCTCAGCGACAATGATGAGGAACACGTTTCACTATTAGATTTCAGTATTTTTTAGCAATTTTCTTCAAAGTTTGAATACGCTTTTCTCGATTATTACTGGACACAGAAAGGTGAAAAAAAGAATCAACGATTACAGAAAAATAAACTCTTTCAACTGATGGGCGTGAAAAGTTTGGTTATAATAGAACGTTAAACAGTATAATCCAATTTTTCAACAGAAAATTCAAAAAAATAAAAAAAGTAAAACCATCAGTTTAAAGGCAACATAATTTCGTATAACATGTCCAAATTTCGAGACATTTCGTCGGTAAATAACAGAGAAAAAATTTTGGTGCACCGATAAAACAGCCTTAATAGTAAAGGTGTGCAAAGGCTTTTTATGTTGTGAGACTGCCGAGTCTCACTGTCTGTGACGAGAAGTGCCTATCCAAGGCACAGTATGAATTGCGGTGATTTAAATGTGTTGCGGTTACACTCGATGCAAGGACCGCCTTCGGATCAGCTCCTTGGAGGTGTAACATTTTTTTTGTTATTAATATATTAAATATTTCTAATTCCTTTTACCCCCGTGCGATACGCCTATGATCGTGTATCGATAGCAAAATATTGTAGATACCCAGCTAAAATGGAATTCCCTAATTAGGAATGGTTTTTAATCCTTCCGTCATAATATTCATTATGAAAAGAGTATAATGCGTTTTGGTATGCAGTTTCCTTTTCATAAATTGGTAATTTTCGTCGAAGGCCCGTTTCTTTTGACAATAACTTAATCCAGTATTGTCTGTTTCTTATGTCAAATTGTTAATACCGATTATTTTACCTCAAAGTTTCCAATAGTCGTTAAGGCCTTACCTTCTGAGAAACACATACAACTGTCCCATCATTCTTGAGTGGGGGAATATTTTCTTCTTCCTTTTTCAGGGACAGTTGGTGAAATTTTGGAGTGGAACCAAGTTACTTGTTGGTGGGCCGTTGTTGAGTTAAGGCCAATATCTCGTGTTACGGTTTGCTCACTTTATTTCTTATCGTATCGTCTTTGTGAATTATTTTCTAAGTGTGTATACACTTTATATTTGAGTTTTCTTTCCTTAGACTATATTAAATTATATATAGTTCTACACTACCTTTAATGGTTATTAAATTCAGTGTTTAGTACCAGAAAAGTATTAAATTCAGTGAATTAAGCTGCCTTCGTCAAGATCTACTGTAAGTAATTTTATCTACAATTATCTGGGCGAGTAATATGGTATGGTACCATATCACCTGCCATTATCTGGACGTATCATCTATATCTTCACCTGAAGATTGCCGATTTTTGAATGTAATTGAACCATTCAAGAAATTTCTATAAATATTACCTATGAACATACAAGTCTCAGTTTTTTATTAAATAATAGTGCGAGATAGTTAATTGACTTAGCCAAGTGCGGTTTGGTTTACGTTTTCATTCTTGTAACCTTTTTGTTTTTTTTTGTAAATTTAGAGTTAAGTAATTTTTGCTATCTTTTGTATTTCCTATAATTTTTGTTCATTATCTTTCCTATGATATCTCGAGAAACGCCAAACTATATTTGTATATGATTGCCTTATACATCTTGGTAAAGGTATTTTTTTATTACATTATAGCTTAATTTTATACATATATAACACCATTTCATAGTTGTGTATTTTTATTACCTGGGTTGCATTTAGCAGCATCATAATTTTGTGTTTAATATATTGTTATTGTTTTATGCATGTATTTTATTTGTCGGCTCCTAACAAGTTCCCTGATAAAATAATAGCTCTGAACAATTACTATCTTTAAATATT